TGAGGGGAGGACTTCCACTCCCAGAATCCCCCAGCCAGCATGCTTTATGAGGGGAGGACTTCCACTCCCAGAATTCTAGTTAGTTTGCTAGTTAAAAGGTCGCAAAAGGGTCTCACATGATCCTGGGACACTGCAACTGTCCTAAATATGAGTCAGTTTCCCAGCATCTGAACTTTGACCATATGAACATACGGATGCTAAAATGGTCATAAGTGTGAAAAACAGTCCTAATTCACTTTTTCCAGGGCTGTTGTATCTTCAGTCACTAAATGAACCGTCATAAGTCTAGGACTACTTGTACTCCATCCCCTAATTGTTCCACTGACCACCCAGGTGGGAAACACCCTTCCCCCCCTCTAAAAAAATATCACCCAGCCGGAGGAGGGAAAGCGACATACGGCTGCCGGACGAATCCGAGCTCTGTGAGCTGCGATCGCGGGCGTCCTTGTCGGAGGCGATCTGCCGCGTGATGATCACGTCGATGAAATTGGCGGCGGTGATGGTGGTCTTGCCGCGTGTGCGCAGTTCCTCCTCGTACTTGGAGATGGAGGGCGGCCCTTTGTCTTTCCCGGCCTCGGAGTAGACGGCCGAAGACGGCAAGTTCTGGGATTTGCTGGCCGAGAAAGCCGCCGAAGCCGAGGAGGCGTAAGGGCCCGACGCGCCCCTCTTCTCCCCGTCCAGCGCCTTCTGCTCCATCGGTGGTGGTGGCGGCTGCTCGCTGACCACTGAGGACCTCCGCCCCGGGTTCTCCTCGATCCGGCCGCCGTCGTGCTTGCTCTCCTTCGACTTGGCCACTTCCATCTGCGGGGCGGAAGCGGCGGCGTCCACCAGAGCGGCCAGTGCGTCGGCGGCGGTGCTGTAGCGGGAGGACGGCAGGCCTTGGGTGATGGAGGGAGTGCCAGGGGGCAGCTGCCTGTTGGGGGAAGGAAAGGAGGATTGAGAGAGGGGGGAGAAAAGAAAGAGTGGGGGAAGAGAGAAAGAAAGTAAGAAAAGGAAAAAGAGAAGAAAAAGAGGGAGGGAGAGAAGGAAGGAGAAAAAGGGGGAGGGAGGGAGGGAGGAGAGAAAGAGGAACAAAGAGGGGGAGAGGGGGAGAGAGGAAAAAAGAAAAAGAGAGGAAGGAAAGAAAGGAAGAAGGAAACAAACAAGGAGAGGGGGAGGGAGGAAAGGAGAAAAAGAGGGAGGGAGAAGGAAGAAAAAGAGGGAGGGAGAAAGGAAAGGAGAGGGAAGGAAGGAGAAAAAGAGGGAGTGAGAGAAGGAAGGAAGGAGAAAAAGAGGAACAAGGAAAGGGGGAGGGAGGAAAGGAGAAAAAGAGAGGGAGGGAAGAGGGAAGGAAAGAAGAAAAAGAGGGAGGGAGGGAAGAAAGGAAGGAGAAAACAAAGAAGGAGGGGGAGAAGGGAGGAAGGAGAGAAAGAGGGAGGAGAAAAAGAGGAATAAGGTGGAGGGAAGGAAGGAAGAAAAAGAGGGAGAGGGAAAAAAGGAAGCAAGGGGAAAACAAAGAAGGAAGGAGGGAGAGAAGGGAGAAAGAAGAGAAAGAGGGAGGAAAGAGGGAAGGAAGGAAGAAAGGAAGGAGAAAATTGGGAGGGAGAGAAGAAAGGAAGGAAGGAATGAGAAAAAGGAATTGAGGGAAGGAAGGAGAAAAGAGGGGGAAGAGAGAAAGAAAGGAAAAAAGAGAAGAAAAAGGGAAGGAGGGAGGGAGGATCGAAAAGGAAGGGAAGAAGAAAAGGAGAAAGAGAGCGGTTGTGCAGGAAACTGTTACCAAATGGCCCCATGGCACACCATGGGTTTGCTTAACAACGACAGCATTCACTGTACGACCTCTGGAAAAAGATCAGGTGACCCTCCTAATTGAGGACCGTCTCAACGGTCGAGCTCCATTAAGGTCGTAGGTCGAGGAACGACCTGTAGCCCTTCCCCTAATCCCACCCCCCTCCCCGGAGACCCTTCCGGTGGCCAGGAAAACCACCCGCCACCCAGGGCGGAAAGCCCAGAACGCAGAAGGGGACGTACATGACGCGCAGCTGGGCCGCCGGATCCAGCGGGCTGATGACGCTCGTCCCGTTGGCGCCCTGAAAGATGCTGGGCCGCTGCTGGAGGATGGACTCCTGGCTCCGGACGGAGGGCGACGGTGAGCGGACGTAGCCGTGGCTGCCTCCTTTCCCTGGCGGCTCGGCTCCTTGGGGGAAATGCGGGAAAACTGAGTCAGCAGATACCACATTTCCCCGAAAATAAGCCCCAGCTGGGTTTTTTGCCTTTGAAACGGTGATGAGCACCGCCCCGTAGAGTCGGGAACGCCTAGCACATATGTGCGAGGGGAACCTTTACCTTTCAGGATAAGCCAGGGGTCAGCAAGCTTAAATACTCAAAGAGCCACAAAGGTCCTAATCGGAAGCCCCCCATTCAATTCTGGAGCCCACCGGAAGTCTGGTTCCCCCACCATAGAGTCTCCTCCTAGTCCTTTTTCCTCTACCTGTCCTAACCGAAAGCCCCATCACTCGTGGAGCTGACCAGAAAACCCGCCCCTTGCCATAGAGTCTTTCTCCTGGCGCACCCGGCTTCCCCCTCCCGCAAACCGGAAGCTCCTCTCCAAATTGTGGTGCCGACTGGCAACATGGAGCCACAGCAGAGGGATGAAAGAGCCACATGCGGCTCCGGAGCCGCAGTTTGCTGACACCTCTCCCCCCCAGTATTTTAACTTAAACTACTCTTTGAAAAAAAAATAGGCCGGTAGGACCCCCCTCCCCCCCCCCCCCCCCCCCCCCGGTATAAGCTCCAATCACACTGGGCCAATAAAGAATTCTGATTCTGATTCTAATTCTGATTTATGATTGTGTTTTACAATTACAATCGTGGTTTATTGCTTGTTGCTTGTATGCACTCTGACAGCTTCTACACTGGAGACAAATCACACTGGGCCAGTAAAAGAATTTCGATTCTATCCTAAAGGAAGTGAGGGATCCTGAAGAGGCAACCGAAGCTTACCTGGGCGAAGGTAGAGATCCGTGGGAGTGGACGACATTCTCTCCCGCTCTCGTTCGCGCTCTCGCTCTTTCTCCCTCTCTGCACTGGCGACCACGGATGCCGGTAAGTGAGACGGGTGTCCTGTGGAGCAAAAGAGAAGAGAAGGGGCTTTAGAGGAACGGAGCAGATGGATTGCGGGTAGTCCTCGACTTACAACCGCAAAGGAGCCCAAAACGTTTGTCCCTAGCTGTTAAGTGAGCTTTGCCCTGTTTTAAGACCTTGCATGCCACGGTTGTTAAGTGAAACTCTTTAGTTGTTAAATTGGTAAATTCGTTCGTTAAGTGAAATCTGGCCTCCCCCTTGATTTTGCTTGTTAGGTCACAAAAGGGGATCTCATGACTTCGGGAGTCTGCAGCCGTCATAAATATGAGTCAGTTGCCAAGCTTCTCTGAATTTTGTTCACGGGACCGTGGGGATGCTGCAATGGTCGTTAAGTGTGAAAAACAGTCACAAATCACTTTCCCCCCACTGTTGTTATATCCTTGAACGGTCACAGAATGAATGATTGTTAAGTCAAGGAATATCTCAATATTTTTTCAGGGTCCGTTGCAACTTCAAACAGTTGCTAAGTGATCGGTCGTAAGTGGAGGGCAGGCAGTCTTCAACTTACGACCACAATTGAGACCCAAAATTTATGTGGTTAAGTGAGACATTTGTTAAGTGGGTTTTGCCACATTTTACGTCTTTCCTTGCCACGTTTGTTAAGTGACTCACTGAACTTATTAAATTAGCAACATGGTTGGTTAAGTGAATCTGGCTTCCCCACTGACTTTGCTCGTCAGAAGAGCACAAAAAGGGATCACCTGAGTCCCGGGATACTGTGACCATCATAAATGTGAGTCAGTTGTCAAGCATTCGAATGTAAATCATGTGACCCTGGGAATGCTGTAATGGTCATAAGTGTGAAAAATGGTCCCAAGTCACTTTTTTCAGTGATGTTGACAGTTTGGTCAGTAAACAAACTGTTCTAAGTCAAGGACTATCTGCACGCGCGCACAGACACACACACACACACACACACACCTCTCTCTCACCTATCATATTTCTCTCTATCAATCAATGACTATCATCTATCTCATCATTATCTATCTATCTATCTATCTATCTATCTATCTATCTATCTATCTATCTATCTATCTATC